CTTCCTGCTGCTGCTGCTGGCGCTGCGCCTTCGGCGCTGGCGGCGCGAGCAGCTGCTGGCGGCGAGCAGCGGCGCCTTGCGCGGCGTGCCGGTCTCGCACTTCGTGGGCATCGACGGCGTGCGCGCCTTCCTGCAGTCCTACTCGCAMGRRGTGTCTCTCACGGCCGACTCTCGCAAGAGCCAGCTGCGCTTCTCGGGCGCCAGCTGCTGCGACACGCTCCCGGCCCGGCCGCTTCCCGACGAGCCCGCGCCGCTGCTCGGGGACGASAACCCTGCCGGCGCTCCACYCGCCGACCCCGCCTCTGTSCCGGTGAGTTCGTCKGGCATGACAGGCTGCGCGGTGCTTCCTCTTCTGCTCTCCTGCTCTTTCTCCCGGTGTTCTGTGTTCTGTGTGCGGAGGTTTGCTGACAAGTAGAGCAGTGCTTCGTTCATTGATTCAGTGTATTCTGATGCCTGTTGCTGCGGGGAGGTGGAGGAGGGGTCAGTGCTCTGCCTTCCTGGTTTTTGGGGAGGCAGGTGTAATGAGGTTGATAGTGGCTGGCAGTTTGCGTGAGGCTTTGTGGTTTCATCAAGTACCGAGTCGTTTCTAGCCCTAACATTTGCGATACCCTCGTTCCTTTCCCTGTTAGCTTTTCCGGACAGATGCGTTGCATTATCAGTAAGACACAGTTTTTGTTCTTTGCTGGTTCAGGAGCTTAACTGGTGTGCAATTCTCTAGATTGTCATCTCGACAGCTCTGTGTGTAACTTTGTATTCTTCTCCGCCTTTGTGTGTGAGTAGGAGGTGTCTTTGCGTTCGTGTAACCGTGCAGGGGAATGGGCCGAGCCACAACAACTCCCTTGATAATGTCTGTCTGCCAGTTACGAAGATGAAGGATCCTTTTGAAAGCCACCCACCAATGTGTGGCTGCATGTGGAGGAGGAAATACAGGAAGAAGAAATGACAGAGGTGTTTTGTTGATTTTTTGTCTTTTAAAGCTGAGCTATGTCAAGCTGAACTGGATGCACCTTGACTGCAAAAGAGATGCCATGGCAAGAGCCTTGGTGTGGGTGGGAGGGCAAAGATTCCAGATGCAGAGGGAGTCATAAGGCAAGGTTGATTGCCCCTGTGYAGACATTCAGTGACCCAGTCTCTCCTGGAGCACTGCGCCTCTTTTAATTTTCGAAGTGTGAGGTTTCTTCAGAGAAGGGCAGTGAACAAAGAAATGCAGCTCCCTTTATGCAGAGATGTGAAGGTATCTGTGTGAAGTTGGTTGTGTAAAGAGAAATCGTGTGAGAAACTGAGCGTTTTGTGTCATGTGTATGTAAATTAGACGGGTCACAGACCACCCTGGACATCGCGAAGGATTGGAGATTTGATTGCAGGAGTTCTACATGACGATCTGTTGAGGGACAGCAGG